ACCAAGAACCCAGAGCCTGGTCCGCTCTAGGCCATCGCTCTGCGCTGAGCTACCTCCCCAGCCCTGAGGAAATCCTTAACAGCAATGGCAGCAGGACTGGAAAAGGCTTTGGAAGCAGAGCAGGAGACACCCTCTCCTAAACTGTCATGAGAACAAACACGGCAAAGAAGTTCTAAGGCCATCTCTCCCCGGGACCACCTGCGGGGAAGAAGGTGGTGATATTGAAGGGTGCCCGAATGTGCAAATGTCCTGTTTACACATGACACCTGTGTACACACTGTGCCTCCTGCCCACAAAGAGAAGGCGGGAGGGGTCACCTTTAATGACCACTTTATATACTAAAAAGTCCTAGAGCTAAGCACACTTTAAAATCCCAATTAGCTGATGAAGTATAACACGTTCTAGAAAGAAAACATGAACTTGGACCATTTAACAGAGGAAGTAGAAGCACACCTGGAGACAAGGGAGACATCTAGGCATGAATTATGTTCAGACTTTCAAAATTCCTCTGGACAGAGTTACACCTAAAGGTCACTTACAATCTCAAGCCGCTCTAGAATGTGAGGGTGGGGAGACAGGAAACAAAAAATAAGACAAACGAGTACTTTCTTGGATAAAGAATTATAAACAGTGGGCTCCCCCAGGATTTCTTGAGCATCCACACTTAGTTTAAATTTATAAGATTATCTGAAGGAGAGAAAGGTCAGTTGCTTCCAGACCAGCAGGGGAAATCAAGGAAATGGTGTGATTAATTGCAGGACAAGCTTAGCAAGAAAATTCACATGACGCTTTTGCAGGCACAAGCTTAAATGAAGGCATTTAGGATAACATAATCCAAATTGCAAGAGAATAGACTCTGTGCTGTCTGTTTATAGCCACAAAATAGGATCGTGGGGATATTTGCAAAATGTTTGTTTGCTAAAGCCCACGCTTTATGAAATTTAAACCTAGCCAAAAATAGTGCTCTACTCAGGCTATCCCCAGATGTGGTTATTTTATTCCCTTTCCCTACAGAAAAGTGTCTCAGAGCTATAGAAGGATGGGCATGTAATCACCCAGACAGCTTCGTTCACAAGAGGCTGGACTGCTTTCTTCCTTATGGGCTTTTGTGTAGAAAGATGAAACCAGACAGGTGACACGACGACAGTCTATAAAACCATGAAGCTTGTGGAGGGCATGAACAAAGGCTGGTTCATCAAATCTGAGATGGCCAGGCCCCAGGGTAGCCCTTGAAGTTTGAAAGAGGAATTGAGGGATAAATTAAAAAGAAGAATTGATTCCTACTCAGAGTTTTAAGGTGAAGCAATTCGGTTCTTGAGGACACGGTCTAAGCAAAATTTTTTCAAAGGGGAGTGAAGAAGGGAGAATGCTTGAGAAATTTTTACCAAATTCATAAAGGAACAATGGGTCAAGAGCCAGTGACAGCACATCCCTGCATTCTGAAGTTGACAAAAAATACCTGGGACCAACTGGGCACTGGTGGCTTACACCTGTAATTCTAGCTATTTGGGAGGCTAAGGTGGGGAGGATAGAGGTTCGAGGCCAGTCTAGGCAAATAGTTCTTGAGAATCCATCTCCAAAAACCAAAATGGACTGGAGGTGTGGCTCAAGTGCAAAGCCCTGAGTTCAAGCCCCAATCACACACACACACACACACAACACACAAAATATATTTACATATATATATATATATATATATTATCCAGACATCTGCATCTGTTAGTATATGTGAGAGAAAATCAGAACTAGTCTCAACCAAATGAGGAACTTCAGCAGTTGCTACGTGTGCAACAGAGACTGTCATAGCTCAAAGGAGCCAACCAGGACCTGCAAGAGGATGTCACATGCTAAAGAGTGGCTTAGGGAGTGGTAGCCCTGAAAATCTCCATCAGCACCCCCTGAAGTTCACCAGATAAAATTCAACTTAAGTAAAAAGAGCACGCCAGCTTTGCAAACACAGCCTTAGCTCCCAGGACTGGGAAACGCTCGCCTTCCCACCAGAACTCGTCCAGTGTTGGAATCAGAGACCAGAAATGGAGGTTCGCTATAATAACAGTCTCAGGAAAGATTCTGATTGGTCCAGCCTGTGTCACGTGCCAGTTCCTGCTTTGCTGAAAGTGATGGTTAGCTGTGGGTTTCACCTTGACGTTAAGCCCAAGAGGAGACTGACTCACCTGGGTCTCTGTGCGTCCAGAGTTGGTGGAAGAAGGACATGGGGGGCTCCAGTGTACCAGAACTTACAAACCTGTAGACTCCCCTGCAAATTAGCGCCTGGAAAGCTCATTTAAAAAGTGCCAGTGTAGGGCTGGAGTCTTAGCCCAAGTCATAGAGTGCCTGCCTAGCAAGTGTAAAGCCCTGAGTTCAAATCTCAGTACTGCAAAATAATAACGATTAATAGTAATAATCTCCAGGCTGTGCCCCTAGAGACTCCAAGTCAGCTGCTTAGGATGGAGCTGAGGTATGTGGGATATTTTTACACACACACCCTCCGCACTGCAATGCTCTCCCAAGGAGACTGTATACTGTTCCTTCTACCTGGACTCCCTTCCGTGCCCCCCATTGCCTCACTAGTCCTATTATTCCCTGGCATACCTCCACATTGGGAGGACCTCTCTATCTTCACCTGTGTCCTGCATCCCAGACTGGGCTGGAGGCCCTGGCGCCCACGTTCTGTATCTCCCTGTCAGTCTGTGTTGTGCTTTACTGACAGTCACTGTTAAGTTATCTGTCTGTCCCTCCTTGACTCTAAGCCAGGTGTGGACTTGCTCACCAGCAGTGGACTGCACTCCAGGCATGGGGTTTAGAGAGCTAGGTTCTGTAGTTGACTGAGTACTTAAGCTCACTCAGCCTGTTTCCTTGTCTGTACAAGGAAGATTTTCAAACCTACACTTCACACGTCCACTATCACCCATTATTACTAAAACCAAATCCTTCAAGACACCTCAAAACGTGTGCCACTTTTTTGGTAAACATCTTTCATGTCTCTTTTCCTAGTTCTCTTTCCCTACACTCTTTTTCTAGCAGCCATTTGAACACAGGGGCTGTGTTAGCTTCTGTCACTATTACAAAATACTTGAGATAAAGAAATTTATAAAGAGAAAGGTGGGGCCGGGCATGCTGGATCACAGCTGTAATCCCAGCAACTCAGGAGACAGGCATCAGGAGGAATGTAGTTTGAGGTCAGCCCAAGCAAAAAATTAGTGAGATTCCTATCTCAAGAACCAAGCCAGGTAAGGATGGTGCGTGTCTAAAATCCCAGCTACATAGGAGGCACAGGTAGGATTGAGTCCAAGGCTGGACCCAGCCAAAATCATGAGCCCCTATCTCCAGAATAACCATTGGAAAAAGGGCTGGGGTGTGGCTTCAGTGGTAGAGCACCTGCCCAGAAACCATGAAGCCCTGAGTTCAAATCCCAGTATGGGGGTGGAGGAGGAGAGAGACAGACAATGGCAAAGAACGTGTGTCAGAGTGAACTGCTCACCTCATAGCCAGGGAGCAAAAGAAGAAGAGGAAAGGACTAGGGTCCCACATCCCCTTCAAAGGCACACCCCCATTCCCTAAAGACCTCCCATAAAGTCCCACCACCTTGAAATAGCACCACCTGGGGGACCAAGCTTTTAACGCATAGATCTTTTGCATCGTTCCATATGCGAACTATAGCAGAGCCAGCTTATTTATTTCCTTAACCCTCAGAGCTAGCATGCAATAGGTCCTGATATGTATTTAGTGACTGACAGCTCAGGCCCTGGATTTGGGAACACACTGTGCATACTCAGAGGCAGGCAAAGTTGGGGTCCCTGCCCACCACTGCCCCTGGGAGGGCCTCCTGCTCCTCTGCCAACAGCCACCCCAGGGTGGAGAGGGAGAGAAGAGAGGGAAGGGCTCAGCAGTGGGGGCCTCCACAGCCAGGGCTGGGGAAAAAGAGTGGGGGCCGCCCATGAGAAGATCTCTGTCCCAGGCCCAGACCACAGCCTAGGGAGGGAAGCAAAGCAGCCAGACTATGGGCTGCTTGTTTGAAGTTGCTGCACTTTGAGTTAGGTTGGTCTCTAGGTACATGAAGTGCTGAATTCTGAAATCCAACATTTTGGATATTTTGGAGGTGGTGGTGGATATTTTGCGGGGAGGGGGATTTGGGACTGGGGATTGAATTCAGGCCCTTGTGCTTGCCAGGCAGGTGCTCTACCCCTTGAGCCACTCTGCCAGCCCTTTTTGGAGTGGTTACTTTTTAATAGGATCTTGCTTTCTGCCCAGGCCATTCTGGACTGTGATCATCCTATTTGTGCTTTCCAGAATAGCTGGGGGTGACAGGTGTGATCCACTGTGTCCAGCCATTGGTTAAGATGGGGTCATATGATCTTTGTGCCTGGGCTGGCCTCCAAAACTGCAATCTGATCCTCCTGATCTCTGACTTTTGAGTAGCTAGGATTACAGGCTTGAGCCACCATGCCTGGCCTATTTTGGGTTTTTAAGACAGGGTCTTTGGCTGTCCTGCAACTTGCTATGTAACACAAGCTGAACTCAAACTTGTGATCCTCCTACCTCCACTTCTACCTCCCTGGTGCCGTGATTACAGGTGGGCACCACCACACCTGGCTCCCGAATCCAAAATTTTAAGAATTTCTTACATCGGCTGAGAGTTGGAGAGTTGTCCATAAATTGGTTGGTTTAGCCAGTAGGGACAGATTCCTCAGCATCAACACAACCCTGTATTGTCCTTTTTCGGGCTGGATTTCTCTTGATCGCCTAAACTGCGTAATGGCCAAATCCCTACTTGAGGCAAGTCCAAATTCAGCTTCACACATTTCTCATAAGGAGAAAAAAAAAAAAAAAAAGCCTTTGCATTCTTTCCCCAAATTATTTATGCCCTAAGACTTGAGTCTTCTCCCAAGATGGCGGCCAATCCCTTCCCTGGGATGCCAGGGGAAGCTCCAGGGTCTGGTGTCCTTCCCGAGTTATATTCAGCTGCAGTCTTGGGTGACAATATGAGCCTGGCCCTTTCAGATAAAGAGCCTGAGGTGTGAGCTTAAAAGTCCAGTGGCCAAAGTCCACTAGGTTGTAAGTGTAAGGGTAGCACTGAAGGGGCCTGCACAGGCAGGGTAGCACTGGAGGGGTCTTCTGGAGGCTCATGCCCTCTGCTGGATGCTGAGCCTTGGTCTCCCACCTGGAGCTGTGACAATAGGAATTTTGGTTAATTACTGACTGGGCTGCTGGGAATGCTGATAGATCTCTCTGACTCATTATCGAAGGCTTTTAGAGCTAGCTCCTGAAAGGCAGATTCCAGCAAATGGTGTTAATTGCAGGACCTCAGGGGTGGAGGGGCCACCCAGTGCCTCTGGGCGCCTCAGTGTGCCAGGGCTACTGCTGGAATGAACTGCTGGGCTGGAATTCTGCGCAGGAAATTGTTGGGTCTGACCCAGGGCTGGCCACGCTTGAAAGGAGTAGCACTGGAAACCTGGATTTTGAGATGGTGAGCTCTCCCTGGACAAACCTGGAACATTTTGGAAATGGGTGCCTAATGAACCCCAGTTTGGGTGAACAATAAGTAACAGAACCTGTAGGTCTGAGACCTAAATGTTTGAGGGAAATACGATGCCTGCGTTGGCTGGATGAGGGGATTTTTGTCATTGTTTTGTTTTGCTTGTTTCGTTGGTACAGGGATTTGAACTCAGGGCCTCAAGCTTGCCAAGCAGGTGCTCTACCACTTGAGCCGTGCCCCAGCCCTTTCTGCTTTTAGTATTTTTCTAATAGGATCTGGGGGGTGGGGACGGGGTTGTTTGAGGTTGTCTGGGTGGCCTGGACTGCAATCCTATTTATGCCTCCTGAGTAGCTGGGATGACAAGACGCCAGCCACTATGCCCAGCTTGTTGGTTAAGATGGGGGTGCCTGTATCTTTTTGCCTTGGCTGGCCTCGAACCTCTTAATCTCCTCATGACTTTTCTGACCTAAGGAAGCGCTGCCCCACTGCACAGCTGGCAGTGTAATTAGTCACCTTTTTCACTTGCTCTGGGGAAGCCAGATTTAGAAGTTGCAATTCTGCAGCTGCCTGAGGGGTTGTGTCTTCCAGGACATGGGGCCTTCCCGCCTTTCCTTCCACCCTGCTTCTCTCCCTACATTTCGCTCCTGGCAGCTTGTGTGGCCGGCAGCAAGCTAGGACTGGGATAGTGCTTAAGAGAAACATCTAAATTGGATCAAAACCCAGAATTATTTTTTTTTTCTCCCAAAGAACCAGATGGACAGGCTTGAGGGTGAGGTGAGGGGGGACGAGGGAGGAATAAGTTTGACTAAAAACACTTGCTCTAGCCTACTGGTGTTTCCTCCAAAAGACGTTTCTCAGCAGAAGCTGCCGCTCTTTTAAATATCACAAGGGCAGAAGAGGGGACTTTTTTCCCCAGGAAAAATAAGTTAAGGGAGGTCACCACCCTGAAACCTTCCCAAGATCGGCCTTTGCCAAGCCTCTCCAGCAGCGCCCGGCGGCCCGGGGACCACCGTATCTATTTCTCTCTAGGAAGCCACGAGCTGTGCTCAGGGTGGCAACGTCAGGTCTGCAGGCCCCGGCTTGGAGGCGCAACCGGGGCAAGTGCAACCAGGTGCTTAGCGGGGGAGGGGGCGCGGGCGCGGAAGGCGAGCCGAGTCCGGATGGGTGTCCGGGCCGCACGCGGGAGTGAGCCTCGAGGTGGCTGGCAGTGGTTGAGATCCAGCGGGCCATCCCGCCCGGACCTGGACAACTCGCAAGCGGATTTTTCAGCCTTCTGTAGCGGGACCACATCTGAGTGGGAGAAATGAACCAGGGGTGCCGGCGGCGCCTTGGGGACCTCAGTCTGGTTGAAAAGAGGGCGGGGACCTGCGGCTTGTCTCGGAGCTGCTTCTATGCGGATCGGCTGTTTATGGGGAGAATTAACCGGACGCGCCGGGATCCTTGCGCCCTGCGGGTGTTTAAGGCACCCAGGGAAGGGAAGGATCGGGGTGCTGGGCGTTTCCCACGTGGGTAGCCACGGAAGGGTCGGGGAGCCGGGGCGCGCCCTCCGATCGCGGGCCGCGGGTTTCCGAGCTCCCCGCGGCGAGCGCCGCACAGGGGCTGCCTCCCCGCCTCTCCCCACCCCCTCCCGCGGGCGGGGGCTGAAACCGGAGCGCGAGTGGGCGGGGCGCGCGGCGGCTGGGGAGCGAGGCCGAGTTCCCATTGGACGAGAAGCGAGTGATGGATGGCGAGGGCGGGGCGCGCGGGGGCCGGGCGAGGGGGAGGGGGGACGCGGGGCGCCCGCGGCCGGCCGAGGTGGACCGGGCCTCCCGGCTCGCTGCTCCCGCCGGCGGAGCCAGGCTGCGTGTTCTCCGCAGCGTGATTGATCTCCTTTTCTTCTACACTCTTCTTCCAGGGAGAGGCTAGTGGTAACAGGCCGAGCTGGATGGATGGGTATGGGGAGAGGGGCAGGACCTTCAGCCCTGGGATTCTGGCCGACCCTCGCCTTCCTTCTCTACAGCTTCCCGGCAGGTAAGGCACTGCCCCCTAGCCGGGGACTGCGCGCCGGGCGCGCTCCGGGGCCTCCCGGCAACACTGGGCCACCCGTTTGCTAGCTTGTCAGAGCTCAAGTTCAAGTTCGCCAGGCCACCCCCCCACCCCCACCCCACCCTCGCGGGCTCCAGCCTCGCATTTCCACGGGTCTTTGTTTCTCCCGCGCCCCGCCGAGGGCGCAGTGGGTGCCCGCGGAGACCCCATTGGGGGGACTCCCACACATACCCGATTTGTGATGGGAAGGCTGCGGAGCCTGGGCCGCCTCTCCCCACCATCACCACTAGCTTCGGAGAAAGTGGATGCCCACAATGCGCCACTTAGGGGCTTCGGATGAGGGGGGAGAAGACAAGGACTCCGACCTGGGGCGCGTTCTCCAGCTCCTAAGCCCGCCAGTTTGCAAACCTGCCCAGGGGTGGAGCCGGGGCGCCCTGGAAGGTCCCAGCAGAGTCGCCTCCCGCCGGGTCCCGGGGGACCCCGGCCCGCCCCACGCGCGCGCGCCCACGCGGGGAAGCCCACGGACCCGGTGCCGAGGAGCGCGGATTCCTGTTTGATAACACGCCGCGTCGCCCCCTGTTTGTTTTTGTTGTATCAGAAGGCGAGAGAATTTCAGAATTAAAGCTGAAAAAAGCCCATCTGTTTCCAATGAATCCCCCATAGTTTTTCACAATGTTTTTGGCAGATCGCTGCTTTCAAATTCCTCGGAGCCCGGACCTCTTGTTTTTGTTGGGGGAAGGGAGACCAACTCCACAGAGAAGCATTTGTTCCTTCCCAAACGCTCCGGTTTCTTTACTTTTTTCTTTTTTTTTCCTCCTCCTTTCGGGGTGGGGGGGAGGGGGAAGGCACAAAACTTAAATCCCTGGGCTGTTTTCCTTCTAATGTTTAGTAAAACTTTATTTCATTTTGCCGTATGCTGCTCATAACTCCTTTACACCCATTTTTCTCTTGCTAAAATGTAAATAAACACAGTGTCATAGGCCAAATGGCCCTCTTAGCAAGGCGGGGTCGCCCGGCCCATTTCCATTGTGTTGGGGTTCAGGGGAGTTTTTTTTGTTTTTTTTTTTGCAAAAAAAAATTCCAACTTGTCTGGCACCGCGGCCAGGGACTCTGCAGCCCCTGCGCACAACTGAAATTTGCAAGAAAGGGCTTGAGTCAGACTCGGATTGGGTTGTTTTGATTTGTTCTGCAGCCAACTGGGTTTCAAGGAACTGGCAGAACTGGGCAGCCCCGATTGGGCCTGGCTGCCAGTTAGGGTTCCCAGTTAACTAACCACGTAGGCCCGGAGCAGAATGGGAGGAGGGCTCAGTTTACCCTCTTGTCTTTAACTCTGCTGCGAGACCCCCAGCGCCTGAGTGTCCGTGGGCGCCCAGCTCACTCAGCAGCTTCCAGACCCGGGAGGGTTCCCCAGACATCCCACAACCTGCGTGGGAGGAGCCCTGGGTCCACAGGGATGCCTGGGCTTGGACCAGAGAGGGGGAGGGGTGTTAGGGTCCCCAAAGAACCCTCAAGCCCCAGGCCACCCTTCCAGTATCAAAACCTCCAAAGAGTGTTGAGCTACCGGTGTCCCCTCCCCACCCCCATTCTTTTAAAAGACATCTACTTAATATTCTGATAGAATATTAATGGATTGACTATTATTAGATTTTGTTCCTCCACATTAAAAAATAATAAGATAAAATTCACCCTCTTTTAAAATAAAAGAGGAGAAGCAGGAGTTGGCAAGTTGTGTTCATTTAGCTTTGCTCTGGATACAGATCCAGTCCTTTGGAAGTTTTATCAGATGGGTTGATAAGTGTCTTTTGTCCCTTGCCTGTGGTGGGAGATGTGATCTCAGCTCAGTGCTGAAATTGAGAAGGGGGCTCCAGGAGCCCTTAAAACAACACCTTCTGCTCTTAAAGCTGCAGAGCTTGTTCACTTCTTGTGCTGGCAGGGCAGGTAGAACTTCCCAGAAGTAGAGGGAGCTACAAGAGCCCCGTGGGGGTGTGTGGTGTTTCTTGGTTCATCTCTTTGTCTTTAAGTTTTTTCTTTATTTTCAAGTATCCCAGCATAGTCTGGGGAACGTTGGAGGATTATATAATGCACAACCCAAATTCCACCACTTTTGTTTCCAAGAAACCCGTTTCTTTTTGGCTTCAAGGCTGGTAACTAAAACCTGGCAGATGGAGCCGATAGCTGTCCTGCCAACTGGCTAATGGACCTCCTCACTGGAGGCCCTGACAGTCACATGTGGTCAGAACTGTCCACCTTAGTGAAAAGTGACCTCCCTAGAGCCTACAAGCAAATAAACTGAGGGCTCAGAACATGTGTGCACTAGAAACCCAGCTCAAAAGACAATTTCCTAAAGAAGGAATGAGATGAACCATTTCCACAGAGACCTAGACTGTCACATCCTTTGACCTGTGGGGTCTGGGAAACAGGACGCTTTGGAATAGCCCAACCTGCAGTTCTGGTAGAGACGGATTGCAGTTAGTGGAAAAGAAAAGTCCTGGCGAGTGTGAGGCGAGGCCCAGAGCCACAGGGAAACGGGGCCGGGTGCCATGGCCTCTCCCACTGAAGACAGGTGGGAACTGGCTGGGCAGCCTGTGAAAGCATAGGTTTGTTCAGATGTTGCCAACTTGAACAGCTGCCAGGAGAAAGCTCACAGGAGTGCAAATTAAATTGGACACAGTTAGGTGAAGAAAGGTGACTTCGCTCTGCTAGACTGAGCGTGTTTGTGTGTTTTGAGTGTTTACGTTCACTTACTCAACGTGTATAACCAACCTAGTGTGTCTCTGCCTCGGTGACAGACTTCAGGGCCCTTTGACTAAGGTCTGCAGGCAGACACAGCCTTGTGAAGACAAAGGGGGTCCTGCAGTGTCGCTTGGGACAGAAGGATGTCTGCTCGTGGGTGATTCTGTGGGGACAGAGGACAGGGCAAAGTGGCCACACCTACCCGGAAAAAGCTTCTTAGAAGAGCCTTCCACAAATAGTGTCCTCTTCCAAACATAAGTTGATAGATATTTTTAAGCTTCGAGGCCATTGTGATTTCTTCGAACAGACATCCAAGGACATTTTGGACATGTCGACACAGTTCCTGTTAACACGTGTGGACACTGGACTCCAGCAGTGTTTCTCCGTGTGGTCCTTGGACCAGCAGCGCCATTCCCCCTGCACTGGGAACCTGGTAGAAATACAAGCCTTGGGCCACCGCAGACTCGTGAAGCAGATACCCTGGGGTGGGGAGGGCAGGGCAGGCTGCTGTGTGTTCTAATGGGCCTGCCAGGGAGTTCTGATGCACACTAGCGTTTGAGGACTGCAGTCCTGGAATTATTGTACTGTCACCTTTCTTCATTCTTGTTTCTCTCCCTTCTTTTATGCACCCATTGTAGAAGTGTTAGTCCTCACTGGGGAAATGAGACTTTATGGCATCCAAGCACATATGTGTGGCTATAGAATCAGAGCACTCTGTCCAAGCTGCTGTTTTAAAATAGGCAAATAGGAAGTCACCTTATTGCTCTCTCTCCCCGTTCGATTTTCTGTCCCAAAAGGAGAGTGTCTTAGTTCATGTAATGCTATAACAAAACACCAGGCTGGGTGAAGTGGCTGAGACCTATAATCCCAGCTACTTGGGAGGCAGAAATAAGAGGATCAAGATTTGAGACTAGCATAGGCAAAAAAAAAAATTATTAAGACCTTATCTCAAAGAACAAATCAGATGTATGATGGGGCACTTCTGTAATCTCAGCCATGTGGGAGGCCAAGGTAGGAGGATTGCAGTTTGAGGCTGGCTGGCCTAGGCAAAAAAATGAAACCCTATCTGAAAAATAATGCTATGGAAGTGTGGCTTGAGTGGTAGAGCTCTTGCCTAGCAAGCTCAAGGCCCTGAATTCAAATCCCAGTGCCACTAAAAATAAGTAAATAAATAAAATACCATACACTAAGAGGCTTATGAACGGAAATTTGTGGCTTACAGCTTTGGAGGCTGAAAAGGGTAACATGGAGGTGCCAGCCTATTTGGTGTCTGATGAGGGCCCCTTCCTGGTTCACAGAGGCTCCTTTCCCTCTGCTGTCTCAGAGCAGAAGGGGTGGGGGGCTCTCCTGGGGTCCCTTTCATAAGATCACTAGTCCCACTTGGGGGTTAGGGCTTAGCATGCACATTGGGATGGACAGGCACAATCTATAAGAGAGAGCAGAATGCAAGATCAGATAGCACAGAGCCAGCTTGCAGCCCTGTGTGAAGGGGTCTCTGGACACACCCTTGCTCAGGGAGAGCACAGTTATCAAATCCTGTAGGTGGTCGGCCCATTGGCTCTAAGAGTGAATGAGGAAAGGACGTCCTGTCTTCTGGTTTGGAAAGGGAAACCCCTACAAGGCTGGAGAAATTGCTGGCATTCAAAGGCAGGGAGCTGGGGAGAGCTGGAGGGCTCTCCAGCTCTTTATTTATTGGCCGGCAGGCACAATAAAACCTCTCTGTGAGACAGGAAGAAGGGACCTAGGGCTCTGTGGAGGTAAGTGCATAGGCATGGGGACCAGTTTACAGGTTGGGGGAGCAGTCGTTCCTACTAGCAGTCCTGTCTTTGGTGAACCCAGCAAGGTGAACCCTGGTCCATCAACGTGCCTTAAGTTCAAGTTGAGTACCATGTTAAGGTCAGCTGTTCTGCTGCTGGGCTAAAATGCAGCCTGCCTAACAATGAAGGCCTCTCTCTTCCAGGGTCACCAGGGATCCCAAGACTTTCCTAGTTTTAAAACTGAAAGCCAAGACTCTTCAGGTGCGCCCTAGGATGGTTGGTCACTCTCTCGTCACCCCCTCACCTGTGTTTCTTGGGGGCCCCACTACCTGAAGTCCAGGGTGTGAAGTGGTCTCTGTGTAGTCCAGTCAGTTGGGGCTGGAGTCCTTCCTCTGCCCTTTCCTGCCTTTTCCCGTTGTCACCTTGCCATGGCCACAGTACAGACAGCCCTAGAACCTCCCCATCTTCTCCCCACCTCATGCCAAACGGAGTACC